TATTGCCCGCTAACTGAGAATGTTTAAATGAGAATTTTTTACAATTCACATACAATACAAAATTACGAATATTTCACAAAGAAAAGTTTACGCGAAGAAACGCGTGTACTGTTGCTCTTTCTCTCTCTCTCTCTCTCTCTTTCTCTCTCTCTCTCTCTTACTCTCTATCTCTTTCGTTGTTTCTCTCGCGCCCCTCCGCTCTCTCTATCTCTGCAAGTCCGACCATAATGTCTCCGTGTAAGACTAACCTTAATACATGTAGCGTTCCCGACACGAGCGCCTCTATATAGACGGCTAAACTCAGCCATCGTGTTTCGTGGAAGTCTGAAGGCGCGGATCGTATGCAGTAGCTCATATATATTCCCATGCACAGGAACAGAAACTCAGCTGCAGAAGAAAAAAAAAAAAGAGAAAAGTGATATCTTGGCTACGTTTCGGTCGTTGACGGCGATAAATATACTGTTCCATCAAATCATACTATTCTGTTATGTCTATCGCATACAACGCGCAACATTTGATCATCTATATCAGTAATATTCGTCATCAGAAAAGATACACGTGAGTATGTTAACTCGACATACTCGAGTTCTCCGGAACAAATTCAATATCATGCACGCATAAAATATTATGATAGATCATAGGAAGAGTCAGGTTAGTAACTGGGCCGTATCTAGCAGAGTGGAATTCCAGATAAGGAGTTTCGCCTCAGACTAATGTTAATAGTATTGCATAGTCAATGGCGAACTGTCCTTGGCCAACTTACCAGAACACAAACAACAAGTGGATTTGCCACCCACGCAATATAACGAGTTAGTTACGGCTCTGGCAGAAGGGAGGTAATTAGAGATGAATGATTTTTCTTTCTTTTGGCATGTCTCGTTCCTGTTCATGTACGCATGTGATAGTACATTTTGTATATATGCTCATTAACATGAATCAAATTGAATAGTCGCGGTTGCCGATCAAAAAATATTACGATGTCCGAAATACTGTTCTCGTGCTAGTCACTGATCTACCAGTATCAATATTTTATCGGTTCAATTCAATCAGGGAACACTTAAATCATAATCATCACCATCATTTTATTGTTTACCATAACCCTAACCCGCACCCTAACCCTAGCCATGACTCCCAACCATAACCCTAACAATAACCCTAACCTTAACCATAACCATTACCCTAACATTAAGCCTAACATTAACCATAACCATTACCCTAACATTAACTCTAACCTTAATCCTAACCATTACCCTAACATTAACCCTAACCTTAACCCTAACCATTACCCTAACATTAACCCCAACCCTAACCGTGGCCATGACCTTAACCCTATCCTTAACTTAACCTTAACCATAACTTTAACCTAATCCTAAACTAAGCTAGTCGGTAAATCCAGAGTCCCAGAGTTATAGAGTGAGAGATAGAACTATTCGATTAAAATTCGGAGAGCGTTTTCTGCCCCCTGGGAGCCGGAAATCCCGCGAAAGACTCTCTAACTGAAAAAAAAAACTATGACCAACAAATCCGTTTTGACCAAAAACTGCTAATTGAACGTACGTTTGTAATTCGCAGCGATGGCTCCACTAACAGGAATAGCAATAATTCGCAAACTCTGTCACATGTCGGCTACTTGATGAGACTAGCGGGGCAAAAAATCTGCCCCTCTAGACGGAATAGGTCGGCTTCGACGTTGTTTGATTTTTATTATACTTAATTTCTTTCTATCGTGTTCTAAGTTGATGATCGGGATGATTAGTCAGGGCCGTAGCCTCTGGGGCAAGAAGGCAGCAGCCCCCTAGATTTTTGAACAAAATTAAAAAATAAGCTTAGCTAATAATCGTAAATAACCCTAACGTGATTTTTTGGTCACTTATCCGTGAACGCCTTGTCTCAGATCCACCGCTACTATACTATGGACGTCGATCAAGAGCTGCGCCCGTCGCTCATCATTACACAGTTGAGTCACGAAATTTTGCCTCCCTCCTACTAGGAATTTGCTCAGCCTACGGCCCTGTTATTATACCTAGCGGCAGTAGAACTATCTAAATCGCTCGCTTACTCCCCTGCGATGCCTGAAGATTTTGCAGAAAAAATACTTTTATTACTGCGATCCGCAGTGTTGATCTTTTCTATTTGATCAACTTTGTCTCTTTCCGCCTTCGATATAGTCCCTTGGACTTTGACGACTAATATTTATGCGGTTATGAGAATTGTGCCTCTAGCAACGCGGAGTGTTAGCCGCGCTATACGTCATCGTAGAGAGACAGCGTGCTCTCACTTCGTCTGCTCTTCTCCGCCTATGCAGCCGGAGCACATCAATCAACAACGAGGAGGATTTTATTTCGCGTTAGCTGACCCCTTCTAATGTATGTCGTGGCGCAACCCCACCAAACCGCAACGAGGTGAGTGTCCGTGTGTGTGTGTGTGTTTTTTCGATGTAATGTCATCCAGAAATTATATTTGTTGGCATGGGCGAGGAATGAACGATCTATCGTTTTCTCTAAAAAATATTTTGAGGAATTTTCTCGAATTGTTGGCTTTAGTGTCTTATTCATAATTCCGCGTAAGCACGTTGGCTTTGGTCATGCCATAAATGATTACAATTTAACTTGCAGTGAGCACGTGTCACGTGTTTTAATTACTAATTGCATGTTGAACGCCAAATTAATTTTCGCCAAAAGCTAGATACTAATCTTCAGAACAAAACACGGTATGGACGGTATATGCACGGAGTGCACGGCAAACACGGTAGGAGCGTATCCTACAGAATTAATTTTAAAATAAGGTACATATTAATATTCTTAAGTAATTTTCTGTACATCTAGGTATTTCTGAAAATAAAGCTCATTATAAAAAAAATTAATATAAGGTGAGCAGATGCAAAACAATTGTTAATAAGTTGTTAAACGATGAGCGTGGGAAAGATGAGGGGAGCATGCCGTAGAGGATGTGGAACAGACTACAGGAAACCCTCATAATGCTGAATAGATATCGACCCTATTTGATACGAATTAAAGCATAATTCGCAAGATCACAATATTTAGTGGGATATGGGTTCAAAAAAGTTGTTACTCTGCTTTTTGAGATTATATTCATATAATATATGTCTTTGTAATGTGCCAAAACAACTTCAGTAGGTAGGTTTGCGTTATGTTATATGACTATAGATTCTCGATATGATATATCGTATATCATATATCACATATTTATATTTTATAAAAAGGGTTAGTAACACGAGAATTTGCCCCCCATGTCATTTTTGTATTCATTCAAACCTTGATTTTCCCTTAGAATTATACGATGTTGTAATAATATATTATGTTGTGTGTTGCTCCCCCGTCAACTGAAACGTCTATGACACAGATTGGTATTGATTTTTATCACTTGATGTTGGTTTACAAGCTCTGTTGTGAAAATTACACTTTTAAAGGGAAATCTTTAACTTGATTTTCGTTTATTCAGATGCCATGTAGTTTTCATTTTGAAATATTGCAATTACTGAGGAATGACTGTAGAGGGCGCGCATTACATATATCATATTATATACATCATCGTCAACGTTATCACGTGACCTCCCTCCACGCCCGGGGGATAGCAACACCCATATTATTACCAGGGGAAGTATAGCAACGACAACAGCAACATCAACGTTGACGACGACGACGACGACGACGACGACGACGCCAACAACAACAACAAAAACAAAAACAAAAACAACAACAACGACGACGACGACAACAACAACAACAACAACAACAACAACAAAAACAACAACGACGACGACGACGACAACAACAACAACAACAATAATAAAAACATCAATACCAACAACGACAACGATGACGACAACAATAAAAACAACAACAACGATGACGAAAACAACAAAAACAACAACAACAACAACAACAACAACAACAACAACAACAACAACAATAAAAACATCAATACTAACAACGACGACGACGACGCCAACAACAACAAAACAGAAACAAAACAACAACAACAACAACAACAACAACAACAACAACAACAACAACAACAACAACAAGAAAACATCAATACTAACAACGACGACGACGACGCCAACAACAACAACAATAAAAACATCAATACTAACAACGACGAGGACGACGATGACGACGACGGCAGTAGCAGCAGCAGCAGCGTCGTCGTCGTGCATTCACGTATTCGTTGTTGTTCACGTTCGTGTGAATTCACGCGTGTTATTATCTGCTGTGTTTATTCCAGCTAAATATATGTGTTATATGCCCATTAGGAAAAAGGTTCCCAGTGGATACGACTTCCCCCATGAGTCTAACCAAAATCGTCTTGGGTTTCTGCATTTCTCTACTCGTTATTTCCGTAGGTATTACCCCCGGGGACATCAGTCTTGACATTTTTTAACATAACTTAGCATAGTTTTTCTCGTAGACCGTTGGCAGAAACAAACGGTGAAGCTACGAGTTTCTAATAAGCAGTGTATTGTGAGTGCACCGGTGTGCGAGGAAAAATTTAATGCTAAGACTAATGCTACGAGTAATTCTGTTTCTGACATATAAGTTGTGTAATTCTGGGACATGGGATTTAATTGCCTTTCACGCACGCACGCGCGTTCGTTACTATTTTTTAATGAGTCTTACCATCTTCGCCAACGAGTAATTTTTTTTAAACTAAATGTTTCTTGTTGATTTGCGTTCACAGTATCGATTTACCCGTGAAAGTTAAAGCCTATGCGAAACTATTACTTTTGCTTTAAAAGCTTAAAAAAACCACAAATTTTGATGAAATATCTAAAGGAAAGCAATACTATAATAAAAAATAATTGTTTAGTGTATTTTACTGAATTTTTTTTTAGTCCATTTTGCATAGGCTTTAAAGCACTCGTGTACGAATCCATCTGGTTTCTACCAGCTCCCACTATCACCTGCTTGCGAGTTCCTGCTCGATATCATGCTTTATATCACGGGTAAAGAATCTCAGTAGTTAAAGAATTAATCTAAAAAACGGTAAAAGAGTAAAAGAATAAAAGAGTAAAAAAATAAAAAAATATAAGTAAATCTCAGCAGTTAATTATAAATCTTAAAAAAATAAAAGAGTCAAAATTAAATTAAAACAAGTAAAAGAGTAAAAGAGTACAAAAGTAAAAGAGAGTAAAATTATATCTCAGCAGGTAAAGAATGCTGAAAAGTGACGTCACTCACCGATTTCGATAACGTAGTCCCACCAATTTAGCCTGCAGATGTGGAACTTTGTCTCTTCGACCGTCTGCCCGATGTCAATGAGGTTGATACCGTCTCGAATATGATCCATGTTCACAGCTGTTCGGCGACAAAAAAAATAGAAGAAAAACACGTAAACGCGAGACAATTAATCGGGATTTTTTTCAACCAAAACACGACATGTTTGGGTGGTGCGGGTGGGAGGGGGTGACGTAGTAATATATATATATATATATAGGAAGTATGTGCATTACCTCCTTTGATGTCGCCTCATTTTACTAGCGAGCGAGCTCTCTCTCTATCGATTGCCTAGCCAAACATTCCTACATCCGCCAACGCGCGCGGCAGTTTTTTTTTATCTCTCTCGTGCTGTGTGATATTTTTATCTCTCTCGTGCTGTGTGATATTTTTTATCTCTCTCGTGCTGTGTAAAATTAGAGAACACAGCGTTTGTGTTACAGTGGACGTCTCCCTCGTTCTCTCTGCCTACACCTCTCTACAGTATGACAACGTTGTCTACTATATACACATTCTGAACAGAAGGCGCGTGTGAGCTCCTAGTTAAAACCGCCGTCAGTGTACACATAAGATACAACATCTGACGACATATACATAACACGACCACCGCCGGTGGGCGAAACATGTTATAAGGGGTGCGAAAGAAATGGAAGCAACCGGTAACCTACCAGAAATTTGGCTAATTAAGATGCATTCTGGGAGCCTCACTTTCGTGTACAACATTTCCGTTTCCGGCTATGTATACACTACTGTAGTCCGTCTACGTAGTTTTATCCGTTTTATACAAAGAACATAGTCCAGCAATTCAACCGGGGTTCGCCGCTCAAAGGCTATGCCTTACTATACATTATATTATTATATTATATACACATTATATTATATATACACAATTATATATAATATATACATATTAGCTGTTCAATATCATAAGTGTAGTGTTGAAAGCTCGGTGTTTTGGAATGGTAGGGCGTCACTGCCTCCAATCCATATCCAAATGATCTATTTATCCTGGTATGTCGTCAGACAGATAATTCTGGTAACTAACACAGAACACATACTACAATACACGTAATGTTGCTAGAGGTTTATCGTAATATTTTTATGTTTTATCTTCTAACAATATAATCTGTATCCCAGAGTAAGTCGTTAAGTAGTTAGTAAGTATCTGTATCCCAGACGTTATAGGTGATGTCTGTACTGATGGCTGGTTTACCTATAAGAGCTCACACGTGCCTTTCACAAATACAAATTGCACATTTCAGTGAAATTTCTGCTTTGTGTAACTACTGTAGCGTTATTGGCGGTGTGTGTGTGTGGGGGGGGGGGTTCGATCGCGTTTCGGCGTGTTCTCTATCGATGAGATTGGATTATCGGAATTCGGCGCAGAGATGAAAATCTGACGAAAGTAAATTAATTACTTTCGATCCGAAGATCATTCGTGTCAGACCGGTTAAACGTTCGGTTACTCTGCTCTGGCATATTTGTTATACAGATATTATTCAGATATCAGACGCTATTTAGTGCTTTTGTAGTGTGTTGACTTCCGAACACCCGTTGTTGTTTTTTGTGTTTGTCATTCATGATGCATTTCTTCTAAACCTTAGCGCATTTTGTTTGTTTTTGGTACTCTCGTCCATGTTGGAACTCTCTTCCTTCATCTCTGGTTAATAGTAAAATTTGATTTTTTTCTTCTATCGCAATCCTCAGTGTTCATCTCTGACTTTGATCAACGTTAATTGTTCTCTGCGTCTTTCAGACCAGTTAAAGGTTCGCTTACTCTGCTCGGCCATCTTTGATATATTCAGATTCCAGACGCTCTTCAGTGCTTTCGCCGTGTGTTGACTTCTAAACATCCGTTAAATTTGTTTCTTTTTTCGGTTCTGTCGTCTATGCTCGAACTCTATTCCTACTACCCCGGGGTTAAATTAAGAGTCTCGTTCCTAGGACCCCCATCAAAGGTCCCATTCCTAGTTTTTTTCTACCGCAATCCGCCGTGTTGATCTCTCACTTTGATCAACTTTGGCCATTCTCCTCGTCTTCGTTACACTCCCCGAAATATCACGAAGCAAAACTCATAGTAGTTGTGTCGTTGGTTAGTTGGTATAAGCCCCAACTAAACTTCTATCTAGCATAACAATTAGTACTTTACGCGTCATAACAGAGACATAGCTGTAGGGATAGACTAGTTCATTTTCCAACTTACACTGAGGTTGGAAATGGCAACGGGAAGAGCGCCAATTTATTGGCTGAGATAGTCACTTGTTATGTTGCTATATCACGTGTAAATCACAAACCCGAGGAAGAAAAATAATGATTCTTGGTGCTAAGAAGATGTAAACTAGCGCACGTATATGCATAACATATATAACAAAGTCTTGGTTTGTTGACACGATTATTTGTAGTGCGTTTTATCGCAAAATATATATGAGCACATTAATTACAAGCGTTCGATTAATGATTAATTATATATATTGTCAGAAGTAGATAAGAGGTTCCTAGTTCCCCATATTACCGTCCATTACCCGTTTCCGGAATAAACCCTATAGATTCCTATTATCTACTTCTGATATTGTGAAAACGAGCGTGCGTTTGTATAGTCAATAAATCATATCCATTTTTGCCTATTAAATTTCTTCACGATAAGTGATTTGAATAATAAATTCGACCATTTTAAATTTAGTTTCACTAGTGCTACATTGTCGGTAAACATATAGATGTAAGGGAGTGCAATATACAGCCATAAACTTAATGCAAAGTCTTCGTAACTAGTCTATCCGTCTAGAAAGGTTGGCACGCAGCTCTGGCCAATCAGTGTTGCGATAGGGTCGTTCTAAAAACGAAAAGTACCGCGAACTCGACAGTTGGGACTCCAGCTGCGAGACATGGCCCAAGCTAACTCTAATGCTTTGAGTATTACGTCCATACTAACGCACTACGTCCAGCACTCACTCACCTGTCTTACAGCACTCACTCACCTGTCTTACAGCACTCACTCACCTGTCTTACAGCACTCACTCACCTGTCTTACATCACCGCTGTTGACAGCACTACTCACTCACCTGTCTACAGCCTAAGCGTAGCACGTCACCTGTCTTACATCACTCTCCAAAAAGTCACTCCCCTGTCTTACAGCAATCGACTCACACCTAGTCTTACAGCATCCAACTCCTCGCACTGTCTTACCGATCACTAGTCACATCACCTGGTCTTACCACACCTCACCATCTGTCTTACAGCATTCACCACGTGTCTTACACACTCACATCACTCTGTATGTACGCACTCCACTCACAGCTGTCTTACATATCATCAACCCCTGTCTTACAAGCACCCCACATACACCTGTTTACAGACACTCACTCCACACGACTGTAATCACTACTAACTGTACTACCATAAGCAGACATGAATCCGATCACGACCAGCACGATGCCGGCCAGGTATTTGAAGACGTCGCGATCTCGCACGTGAACGCGGCGCGCCTTTCGTGACTGAAATTCTGCTAACACCCTAAAGCAGCGAAAACAAGAACAAAACACAATTATGAGTTATGGTGCGGTCGGGTGTTGTTTGCAGATATTGTCTTAGTGCGTCTTGCTCTCGCTTTTGCTCTCGCTCTCTCTCCCTCTCTCTCTCGCTCGCTCTCTATCTATCTATCTTTCTATCCGTATTGCTGTTTCGCTCTCTTACTCTCTCTCCTCCCCCCTCTCTCTTTCTCTCTCCCCATCTATCTATCTATTTATTTATCTATCTACCTACCTCGCTCGCTTGCTCTCTCGTTCTCTTCCGCCTCTTAATCTTTCTCTTTCACTCCTTTTCCCAGTCTCTCCCCCTCTCTACCACTCTTCTCTCACTCTATCCGCCCTCTCCCTTTCCCCATTCCTTTCGCTCTCCCCCTCTTTCTCTCTCTCTCTCCATCTCCATTTCCCTCTTCTTCTTCTTTTCCTTCTCCTTTTCCCTTTCATTCACCTCCCCTCTCTCTCACGCGCGCTCTCTCTCTCACGCAAACACGCGCTCTCTCTCCCCAGCAGGATCACATCCACTAGATGGTTTACTCGCGTAAGAGCTCCTGTATTGATTCTTGCAATACCATATCACTGATGCTATATAAATCACGAGCCATAGTAACTGCAGAGAGCAAAGAGAGAGCAGAGAGCCAGAGTAGCTGGGCAGACATTTACGCGTGAGGACATCTCTACTGTGAAAATGCACCTACTCGTACGCGCACACTTTGTAGTGATAACAGGTGAGTGAGTGCTGTAAGACA